CAAACCAAAAACCCTCAGAGATAATACATTCAGTCCAGTGGTGGGTTCTAGCCGGCGTTACTGCCAGTTCACTCATCTGCGTACTGTGGGTGCACATGCGCAATTCAGTGGAAATTGTTCTGCACATGCGCAGAACTCCCCAAAACGATGGTGGTGATGGCGACTGGGAAACTGGTTCAGGGACGTGGCCAGCCTGAGTCGCTGCTGGTTCTGAACCAGTATCACTACCAGTTCAGCCGAACCGGGTCAAACCAGTAGGGACCCACCTCTGATTCAGTCAAATCAGTATTCAGTTTCTATTGACAAAGGAGTCCATGGACCCTAGGCCTCAAATGTTCAATGGGACAGGCAGGTTTTAATATTTTTTTGAAATATGAAGATGTTCCCGTACTGTGTACTTTGAAATGCAAAGTGTTCACAGCCCAGGGATAGCTGCAGAGTAGTCATGTTGTCAAGATCCCCTTCCAATCTTCCCCACTCCATGTGATATGGAATCCTTCATTATGCCTCCATAGAAAAATGTACATAGCAGGTCAAATCTTGGCAGGAGAAACTGTCCAGTAGATACCTGGAGCTCTTCCATGTAGGGCTTTAAAGGTGATAACCGGTGGTTTGAATTGGAGCAGGAAACAATGGCCAACCAGCACAGCAAGTGAAACATACTATCTATGTTACAGTACACAGCTAAGCGTTGCTGCTTCTGAATTATTTTCAAAGCCAACCTCATGTATTGCAGTATTTAAGCATGAGGAGGCAACAGTGGTGGGATTCACTTACTTTTCCTACCGGTTGGCAAATGTGAGTGCACACCCCACATCTGTGCATGCACACCTCTTTCTGCGCATGTGCAGTGCTCGCACAGGATGTTGGGGCAGGTGGCGGAGCCTCCCATAGCCACCGCTACCGATTCACCCAAAACGGAGAGAACCAGCTGAATACTACCTCTGAGTGGCAAGCACTGTATTCAGGGATTCTTAATCCAAGCAGGCTTGCAGTTGGCATACCAACTAAAGGTGGACAAAGTCTTAAATGCAAGTCCTGTTTATGAAAGAATGTCATCTGACTGGACCCAGGAGCTGACTTGCCCTTTGGAACATCTTGATGCCTTGATTGGCCGTGACCTTGCTGGCCTTTCAGAAGCGGCTGAAAACATGGCTTTGACATCTAGCCAGAGATTTAGTAATGTAGGTATGCAGCCTATAAAGCTGATGTATTTCTAGAAAACTTGAACACACTCTCCTGCTTGCTGTTTTTTAAATAGCTGTTATGGTTTTAATGATTTTTGTTGGGTTTTTGTTGTATTGTTTTGTTCGTATACCATTCAGCGTCAAGTATGTGAGGTGGGTGGCTGAATAAATGTATTAAAAAGGGTCTCTAGCCACTGTACTCACTGCTCCAGTAGGATCCATAACTTTAGGTGGAGCCCCATTGTGTAGTCTTGCTCCTTTACAGAAAGAGTAACCCCATCTGGTGCTTAAGCTCCAGCCAAGATAGGGTCAGTAATTCCATCTTGCTTGTTTGATGAACCAGGTTCTCACAGTCTCTGTATCCTACCTGGCCTGAGGTGCTGATGTATCATACTGATGAAGCCTTGCCCAACCTGGAGATAACCTCTCCCTGAGGTTTCATTGTTGATGTTAAGCAATGGTGCGTTTCAAATCCCATTCCAACCTGTACGGTTGGAACGGGGCTGGCGGCATCCTCATGGATGTGCACAGTGTGCGTGGACACATGCATAGCATGCACATGCGGCTTAGCACCTCCGCAACACTCCAGCTGCTCTGTGGAGCATTGCACAGGCCCTGTACGTGCCATGCGCCTGTGCGGAAGCACAGAAGCCTTTAAACACTGGTAAGGAGTGAGGGCAGGAGGGTGGGCCCTCTGGAGCACCATACTGGAATGGTATCCGGTGCTCCGGGCTGGCTCTGATGTTAAGTAACATGGAGGAGAGGACTAAATGCCACAGTATCCCACAATGGAGTAACAGTAAATCTGAGCATTATTCACTGAGGTTCTCTAATGGACTTTGTTTACTTAGGAAGGAGAACTTCTGCAAAATAGTGACGTTATTCTCGAGCCTACAAAGGTATTCCAGAAGACAACTGTGTCAATGTTATTGAACACTGCCAATAATTCAAATAGGATCAGGAAGGGCACACTCCTTCTAAATCCTGATCAAGGTCACCTACCCAGAAAGGTAACCATTTTTAAAGAACATTTTTTCATGGCAACTTAAATGTTGTAATTTGATAAAGAGGAGAAAACAATTAAATTAATGTAGATAATTTCATCATGATCTGAGTACAACATGCAATTTTCCTCCTCTGCAAATTGGCTACCATAATTTTCTTGAGTAAGTTGGCAGAAAAATTAATTAATGCAATGTCTTATTTTAACCTTTTGAATAGCAATAGCACTTAGACTTATATACCACTTTACAGTGCTTTACAGCCCTTTCTGCATCTGCAGCAAATTAATGCAATTTTTAAATGCTGTTTGACAATTGTCCAAATTTTTGCTTGAGAATAATTTAGTTCTTTTTTTAAATACACATTTTCTTGAAATAGTGCAAATCTTATACGAAGTACAATTAAACCATCAATAAATGTTGCAGCCAAAATGGGATGTTTGTAACTTGTTGTAAACTGCCTTTCTATTCCTTCTTCTAATCCTCTAAACCTCTTTTCTAATCAAAGCTTCTTGATTTATACTGTATGGAAGGTAAAGAAATAGAACAAGCACCTTTTTCTTGCTGTTTAATTTTGTCCTCTTTAGTAAATAACCAGATATACCAGTTTAAAGTATATATGGAACTTACTAGAAATTGTTTTCTACTACAACCTGAACTTTACATTAGCCACATTAGCCACATACTAATAACAGTACTAACATACCAAGACGCCTTTACACAGCTGTTAAGATTGACTGTTTTCATTAAGTGATGTCTATGAAGTGTCAGCAAAAGTTTTTGTATTTTTTAAATTAAATGTTACTAAGTAGATGAGACAACAGACATATTGAACTTGAAATTAGCTAATGGAGTTATGGAACCAATTATGGTTAATATGTACACAATGAAGATAAGGAATGCAGTGCTTTTGCATCATAGCTATGCTAAAAATTGCATTGCTGCTAAAAATTGTGTTGCTGCAGATTCAAGTAGCATAATACAATAACTAGGAAACATTACAGAGACAACACTTTCTATCAGCAAAGTATAGGACTGTCATAAATTGAATGAGTCCTTGTAGCATGGGTGGTCTCACAAAAAGATTTTTACAATATTTTTTTTACAAACTGTGAGTCTGTTTTTCAGGAGGGAGAGGCAGAGGAAAGATCAAACCAGAAATACAATTAACATTTTTCATAATTTCTTATATTAAGTCAAGTCCAGACACAGAAGTTAACTGAAGACATGGTACTATTCTCAAATCTGAATAGTTTGATTTTAATTTAAAACTAATCTAGCTGGGTGCAAGTGTGTTCTCCCATTACATTAAGCCACTGTGTAGTTCATTTATTTGGGTGTATTTGTTTATCTAACATATCTACTGCTTCTGTCTGCACGGATCCTGGGTGATTTACAGAAATAGCAGTAAGAATATATATACATTTTACATCTTTGTTAACAAAATATAATAAGTAATATTTAATAAAAGGTTACCAAGAACACATAATATACTGACATAAATATATAGTGTGTGTACCTATACAGGTAGTCCTTGATTTACAACTGCCATGTTTAGTAACTGTTTAAAGTTAGGACAGCATTGAAAAGTAATCTTATGTATGGTCTTCACATTTATGACTACCACATGACGGAGATTTGGGGACTTTGCAAGCAATGGCTGATTTGCAGCTTCCTGCGGTCACATGATCTCTATTTGCACATTTCACAGCCAATATTCAACAAGCAAAGTCAGTGGAGAACCCAGCAGTAAAATTGCAAATTACAGGCAAGTGATGTCTTACTTAACTCCCACCCCCCCCCCCACCCTTCCATGGAACATAGCAATGGAATTGGCGATCCCAATACGCAAGGACTACCGTTCTTGTATACATACATATTTGTAGCTCTACAATCATTCCCCAAAGGTCCGTAAGTTTTTATTAGCTTTTGATAGGCCATCAGAATAGGGGCTGTGATCTGGGTCATCCTTGGGCTGGAGCTGCTCCATAAAAGGGGAATTGCCATTCAGAATATTTCCCTTTAGCCGCCCTCTCAGCACACCTTTAGCAGGTGGGGTCTCTAAGAGGTGCTCTGCCATTTAGTGATTATTTCGGATGATAGTCTTAGATATCCATCCCTGAGCCATATAAAGATATACAGGTAACAATCTTTTTTAATATATTTTTTAATTTTTAATTTAAAACAAACACAACATCCTTCTTTACATGCTGTAGAAAGTGTATCAGTTGGTTACAAAAAGACTTTCGTGCATCTTTTCCACAGTCAACAAACATAATTCATATTAACTCAAGCATTTTAACTCAAATATTTAANGATGGATGGATGGATGGATGGATGGATGGATGGATGGATGGAGCAACCAACCAACCAACCAACCAACCAGGAATGTGTGTAGATGAGCTGTAATTGATAATAGGTTTGTTTGTACATAAACCACAAACAAACACAGGTTTGTTTTTTACAATTTATATTATATTTAGTTTCCTAGTATGATGTATGTTGATTGCTTATTTATTATGCTATGACTATCAGTAAGTGTTGTATCTTATGATTTATGAATGTATTTTTATGATTATGATCACGATTTATTATTTCTAGCTTTTATGTACCCTGAGAGCTTATGCACCGAAGATAACTTCCTTGTGTTGTCCAATCACACTTGGCCAACGAAGAATTCTATTCTATTCTATTCTATTCTATTCTATTCTAAAACTGAGATCAAAACAAAAAGCATTCAAGCGATGAGATTTAAACTGTACGTCTCAAAATTGCAACTCGACACACTTAGCCAGGAAGCGGGATGAGCTACCTGCACACAGCTTTCAGCTCTGCCGCGATCTCCGGCGTGCAGAGAAAATCCTCCATCACCGCCGCCTCGTCGTCCTCAGGTTCTGCCTGCTGGAGAGACACGTCTTCCTGGCGCAGCGCCTCCTTCCAAAGAGCTCCAAAACCGCCCACGTGGAACGCCCGACTGTTCAGATCCACCGTCTCATAATTGGGGACATTATTTCTGAACCCGGTGCTAGTTCCAGCCATTTTTGCATCAGGATTCAGCCGAGAAGAGACGAGGTGTGAAACGGATGTGGGGCCCCAGTGGCTTCTGGAACTTGTAGTTTCTTTCCCTCCAAAACATTAGAGAGACTTGACGCACTTCAACATGGCACTTCCGACCTTGCTAAACTATAACTTCCAGCGGACTCAGCCAATAAGATCAACGATAAGGAATGCTGGGAGTTGTAGTTCGAATTCATCGGAGGGTTCCTCAGATGCTGGCTCGTTCAAGGGATTGGAAGCGTTCGCTGATTTTTTTTTCGTCCAGCGAATTGTGGAAATAACCAGGTGTCCCAAGCCCGTATGTGCAGATTATTTTTTATATCTAAATAGCAATCGTGCAATTAGAAAAGTAAGAAGCCAGAGCGTCAGCGATTATATACACCCACTAGATTGTGTCTAGCTTTAAATTCTGCTGTAATTTTATATAATTTAAAAATCGTGGTATTTAAGTTGACACATTCTGTACATTTTATTAAAAAGTTAGGACACAAATTTTATATGTGTGTATGTATGTGTGTGTGTGTGTATGTATGTATGTATATGTATATGTATGTATGTATGTATGTATGTATGTATGTATGTATGTATGTATATATATATGTATATATATATTATATTTATAACAAAAAGGCAACAGTAAAAAATATTGGGTTTTCTGTCTGGATGGTCTCTTGTGACGAGCCGAAGGACAGAGAGTGGAAGTGTGACCTTCCTCCCATATTTGGGCATACCAGCCATATAACTATATATATATATGGCTGACTGTGCTAATAATAGTAATAATAGCAACAATAATAATAAATGACTTTTTTAACTTTGTAAAAAAAATCACTGTACTTGGAACTGCCTATATAAGTAGAGCAGTGGTTCCCAATTGGAGGGGGGGGCAATTTGATTTTTAATGTGGGCAATTTGAATCTTGTTTAAACCAAGTTAATGGCCTTTTAGGCTTCCTCCACATGGGTAGAGTTCACTTTTTGAGAAAAATAAGAATTACACGTGGGAGTGGGGCACCAGGATTTTAGAGATGCTTAGCAGAGGTGGGTTCCTACCGGTTCGGACCAGTTCGACTGAATCGGTAGTAACTTGGCAGCGACCCAGGCCTGGGTAGTAATTTGCCAGGAACTGGCAGTGACCCAGGCCTGCCACGCCCCTGAACCGGTTCTCTCAATGGCACCATAGGTGCCACCATCTTGTTTTTCCAGACCAATTTTTGTTGCAGTGCGCATGCATGCACAGCATGTGCGCAGAGCGCATCCCTGAGTAAACCCGGAAGTAGTGGCGGCCGGAACCCACCCCTGATACTTAGGTGAGGCATGGTCAAAAAAAGGTTGGGAACCACTGACTTAGATGTTACCTTGATAGCTCTTAGGTTTTTGGTTAGAACCTGAACTGTTAAGTCTTTATCAGTCTGAATCGAATTGAAAATTAAATAATAACAATAATACTAGGTATAGCAACCTGATTGAGAACACTGACATTTAGTACTGTATAATGATCTAAAGTCACTTAAATGATCTATGATATATGATATATGATCGTTGGAATTCTATCATGTCCTGAAAACACCAGCTTGAGTGCTTGCTAATATTCTTAATTAAAAAGAAGCTCATTTGAAATTCTATGTTTAAGTCATCTGGGTATGAAAAACATTTTTGATAACTAGATTCTGTATGCTACTTCATGTGGATTATGTAGCTTCATTTTTAGCTGATTGAGAGTTTGATTAAAGGAAATTTGAAAATTAAGTCATTTTGTACTCATTGCACATTATTTCATTTCCTGATGATACCAGTTAATTGTCTTAGTCAAAAAGTATCTACCGATATATCATATTTATTTTATTAAAGAATGCACACTTAGGCCAACATATCTAACATACAAGCCCATTAACAGTTGAAGTTAGGCATTCACCCATTACCTTCCAGCCCAATACTTTTTGACAACAATTGCTATGGCACAGAACATTTGTAGAGACTTTATGGTTCTCATTTAATAAGAAACACGTGATGGCTGTTAGAACTAATCGGCTGTTAGAACAAGTTGGATAATCGGCAATTAGGGCAGTAATTAACTCCACCCTTTGTAGATGGAAAACAGAAGCACATGTACAATTCTTTCAATTTCAGTGTCAGACTGAGACATATGCACAAATGCTCTTGATAGAGGATGTAATTAAATCTCCCCTCAGTGCCCTTGAGAACCATGTCTTAACAATAGCAATCTGAGTATCTCCCTATATTAGGGTACAAATATATAATGAAAATGTTTGGAGATGCTAAAATGTGAGCTGTTTTAAGAAGAGGTATGAGATGTGGGGTCTTTGGTACTCTCTAAGTTTGATTGCTTTCTTTGTAGACCTTTCATTACCCAACTAAGCAACATCGTGCTAGAAGAGAGTAGGGTTTGCTCTTTATTTATATACAAGTGGCTAAATCAGAGGTGGGTTGCTCCCAGTGCAGCCCGGTACAGCCAAACCAGTAGTGGTGGCAGCGGAAGGCTCCATCCACCCACATGCACAGAAGCGTTGCCCAAGCAAACTGGTAGCAAACCAGTTAGCAACCTACCACTGGGCTAAAGATAGAGCAAACACCACACCCTTCTAGCACTGATGGTGTTACCTCGTTGGGCAATGAAATGTCAATCCAGGTCAGAGAGTACTAAGGATCTCATAGCTCAACCCTGAGTTGCAAATATTCTCTTCTAGAGAATGAGATGTTAAGACTATTCCTTAGTACATCATGATTGAGGATTCTTTGTTTGACCTCATTCCAGGTTTTGTCCAACCACAACACAAGTACAGATTGGAGGGTAAACTCACAATAATCTATATGAGAACAGTTATCATTTGTTTCTTCCATGGGGAATTGAATCTGTCTATCAATGTACAATAAGGTGAACTAAAGACTCATGCTTCTAGATAAGTTTAAGCTAATATTTTAAGTGGCACAGACTCAGTGATTCAGTGTCCACAGCTATTCAATGAGGCTCAAACTAAAGTGGGGCAGGAAATTAAAACAAAGCTCTTAGGAATGCAACTTGGGTAGTTTCTAGAGTAAGGAAATCATTGTGTGCCATATAGCTTTGAAAAGTTGAACTACTGCAGACACATGGTTACAACTTGTGTATTTGGTTATTGCATTAGACGCTTCATGTACATGGAGCATGAAGTTTGAAGGTTGGAGTTTGCAGGATATAGACCACTGAAAGTAGATCCCTAGATGTTTAGAGGCATTAAGCTGCTCAATTTAAAGATTGTTGATTTTCCAAATAGAGGGGAAATGCAGCCACTTTTTTTGACTGCCTGAACAATGGCAATGTTGATAACTTTAAGTTATGTAGATTTCAATTTCAAGTTTCCATGGCCAGCATGCTGGCTGGGGAATTCTGGGAGTTAAAATCCATACATCTTGAATTTTTTCTTCTTCTGTTCAGTCATGTCTGATTCTCAGAGACTGCCTGGACAGCCCTGCAGTTTTCTTGACAAGGTTTTTCAAAAGTGTTTTGTCTTTGCATCCATCCTAGGGCTGAGAAAGAGTCACTGACCCAAGGTCATCCAGCTGGCTTTGTGCCTAAGGCAGGACTATAACTCATACAAAGGTAATATTTAGCCGGTTCGGACCGATTCACCCAAATTAGTACCAGAAATCACAGGTGGCCCTGCCCACTTGCCTTGGCTCTATCCTGTCTTATTTAGGCACATTTTTGAGGCCAAGCGCATGCACAGAAGGCCCAGGCACAAGCAAAGTGCATGCGTGGAAGGGGGTGGGCATGGGGGGGGGGGCGCGCAAACCAGTGGTAATAAAATATGAATCCCATTGCTGAATTCATAGTCTGTCAGTTTTTAGCCTGATGCCTTAACTGCTACAACTAACTGCCTCTCCTACATCTAGTATAGAGGTGTGATTAATAGCATTAAGGAGTCTTTAACCTTTCACTTTTGCTGAATTTGTGGAAAGTGCAGNACCACTTCTCTTTTAAGCTACTGCTCTTCCTATAAGGAAACAGCTATGTCCACACACACGACAATCCCTTCCCCAATCAACAGCAGCATGTTTACTTAACTAATGGAGTTAGAGTACAGATAGTCCTCAACTTAGAACAGTTCATTTAGTGACCATTCAAAATTGCAATGGCACTGGAAAAAGTAAAATATGACCCTTTTTCAAAGTTATGACCTTTGCAGCATCCCATGAACATGTGATCAAAATTCAGATGGTTAGCAACCGGCTCGTATTTATGACTGTTGCTGTGTCCCAAGATTCAGTGATCACCTTTTGCGACCTTCTGACAAGCAAAATCAATGGGGAAGCCACATTCACTTAACAACCAGTTTCCTCACTTATCAACTGCAATGATTCATTTAACAACTGTGGCAGGAAAGTGGAGCAAACCTCACTTAACAAATGTCTCAGTTAACAACAGAAATTTTGGGTTCCATTGTGGTCATAAATTGAGGACTAGCGGTATTGGTAGTCTTCGACTTACAATCACAACATTTCTGTTACTAATCAAGACAGTTGTTAAATGAATTGTGCCTCTTTTATGGCCCTTTTTGTCACAGTTGTTAAGCAAATCACTACAGTGGTTAAGTGAATCATGCAATTTTTAAGTGAATCTGGCTTCCCTATTGGCTTTGCTTCTCAGAAGCCAGATGGAAAGGTTACAAATGGTGCAACTATCATAAATACACCCCAGTTGTCAAGTGTCCAAATTTGGATCATATGATCATGGGGATGCTGCAACAGTTGTAAGTGTGAAAACCAGTCATAAGTCACTTTTTTCAGTGCCATTGTGACTGCAAACAGTCACTAAATGAATGTTTCAAGTCAAGGATTACGGGTATTTCAGGCCTTCCCTACTCATTATCTTCCATCTCTCTTATGTTCCAAGTGTTTCTCAAACTTGGTAACTTCAACTCCCAGAATTCCAGTTTTGTTCCAGATCAGACTTTGGGGAAACGTTTTTAGATAGATCAAGGTTAGTATTTTTCTAAACTGCCCCCAAGTTCTGTTACAACTAGTCTCTGCTTTGCTGGA